ATATTTAGGATTTAAATGAATTCTGGATGCATTTAGAGGTGTAAAAAAAACCAAACCAACAAACAAAACAACAAATCACCAAAAGCAAACAAACCCATCCCTGGTATGAAATCCTTCAGGCATTTCACACCCACCCGCGGCGCGCGGGGCAGGGGGGGGGCACTTTGTCACCGCGGCGCGCGGGGCAGGGGGGGGCACTTTGTCAAGGTGCTGTTTTCACAGCCAACGTAAGAGCGACGCGCACGTCCACAGAGGATGCTTGGCCAGCCAGAGCTTGACTCGTTTGAAAAGAGATACCCGAGCCTTTGCCCATCTCTGAGGGCTTGTTGCTTCTGGGAGATGCTCCGAGTGGTGCAAAGCTCCAAATAAAAAAATTAAAGAAAAAAAAAAACCCCAAACCCAACAACAAACCAGCACCAGATCTGACAGGACTGGTTTGACTCAGATTTGTCACGTTATTAACTGGTTCTGTTTTCCCCGTGCGCCGAGCTGCTCAGAGAGGCATTTGCTGAACAGAAGAAGGAGGAGGGAGTGTGTCAGAAGGAGTAGAGGTGGTTGTGATGTGAGCCCTAACTGGGGTCAGAGTGGGACCAGTCTGCACTGGGAGCTCCTCGCTTCCTTCTTGCTGCTCTTAAGATTGAGGCTCAGCTTTGCAGCACTCTGGGGATGGTCGCCTTCCAAGTGATTCTGGGTCCTATTTTCCACTTCAAAATATCACTGTGGTTGTGAAATGGCTTTGAACTGCTTTGGCAGAAGGGGAAACTGAGGCACGGAGCAGTTCAACCAACTCAAGTGAGCGCAGCCTGCCCAGTATACCCAGTTAATGCAGGGAACCATTACTGGTTTGGGGTCCCCATCCAGCACTAGGGTGCTCTGGTACCCATGAGCATCTCTACAGGTGATGAGCATCTCTTCATGGTGCTGCCCTGGGGTTTTTGAGGTGGTTGAAGTGGGATTTCTTTAATATTACCCCATTTTGGAGTCTTCTCCTTCCTTTTCTGAGCAAAATTGGTGCTGCTGGTCACAGCGTTTGGCCTGGGGATGCTCTGGAGCAGCCGGTCTGGTGCATCTTGCCAACCCTTGGCAGCAGCGGCAAGGAGAACGGTCCCAGGTTGAGTGTGTAGAACCTCTCCCTCCATCGTGCACCTGTAGTGACCAAGAGGCTCAGGGGTGGAATTTCTCAGGTCCTTGCTCCCCCTCACCCTGACTCAGTTGGTGTTGGTGCTTCAGGCCCTGACTCAGTTGGCTCCTGGCTATTTTCATCTTTCCCTCCTTCCAGCACTTCTCTCTTCCGGCACCTCCTGAGCTGGCAACTGTGTGAACGTGAGGTTAGAAATTCCCCCCTCCAAGTTTTGAGCCTCTTTTCATTGTACCATCAACACCAACAGGGTCTTGTCTCCTGTGTCTAGTCCAGTCTCAGTAAAAATTTGGTTCCTAGTGTAGCTGCTCTCCCAGCTGGAGCATAAAACTCTTTTACTCCCCATGAGAAACCACCCTGGTCATGATTTTACTTCTACTTCCAAACTCAGCTCACTTGTAGCTCCTCAGTTCTTTCCCTTCTCAGCCCAATTTTGGGGTCCTGGCCTCACTTCCATTGGGACTTCCAGGCTAGTGACCCTCTGTATGGTCATTTCTTTTTTTGGGAACACCCATCCCACGCTGTTGAGTGCAGGTTGAGATTGTGTAGATCATCGGCAGGTTCTGGAGGATGTTTGGTGGGGCTTTTGGTGCTGTATTGGTGACCACTGGGTGTATATATAGAGATTTTATTTTATTTTTAAGACTGTTTTGGAAAAATCTTGAGCTTGGAGCAGGGACCAAAGCTGAGTTAAGACATCTCAGGTCAGATCTTCATCTGACACAAAACCAGAGCAGCACTGTTGACTTTGGGGGACGATGGTTGGCATTGGCTGTGAACCTGACTCTGCTATTTTTAGAGGTTGCTTTTGCTCCTGGGGCTAAATCAGATCTCACCTCCACGGCTCATTCAGCAGCGCTGCTTCACTGCCTGAGTGTCTGCAGGGTCTCACTCTCCTCCTTGGTGATTTTTTTTTCTTCCTACTTTTGCTTACAGTCTAAGTTTTTACTCTTCAAGTTTTCTTGAGGTTCTCCACACGGTGAAACTCAGGAACGTGACTCAAACCTCAGCTGAAAAGTGGATTATTTTGGCCGTGCAACCTCTGGGTAGACACACGTGTCGGGTTAAACCAGCCTTGTTTTAACATCCCACTTTTTGGATGGGTTTGCCTCCCCAATTGTGGAAGGCTGATCACTGAGGGCCACTTTCAAATCTGCCACCAGCAGAGCAAGTGGTCCAGCGTGGTCTGATCTGAAAGGTATAGAGCATCTCAGCCCATCCTCAAGCAGGTGTCTAGCACTAGTGGGGAGAAGAATCATCTTCCAGTGGTTTCTCCATCATTTAAAACCTGGCTTCAATGTGATATGTAAGTTTTGGAGGGCTGCTGCTCTCTGTGCTGGACCCACGTGGGTTTGCCCTTGGGGACACCCCTCAAGGATGTTCTCATCAGGCACAGAGCTGCCGGCACGTTACCACCAGTGACCGGGGCCGGGTTTTTCTCAAGTGTGACTCAGGCTGTCTCTGCTGCTGATTCACTCCAGCCGAGGACCTGGGCCGTCGTCTCCAGCAAGGATCACAATGCAGCTGCTGCTGAAGGCAGCCGGTGGAGTGGGTTCCACAGCAGAAGGTCACAGCCTGGTCAGTGCGGGCAGGGTGGGTTATCAGCAAAGGGTGCTGGAGCAGGATCTGCTCCCAGGAAGCCAAACCCTTGTGCTGGAGGAAGGTAGAAGAAGAGATTTTCTGCTCGGAGGCTTTTATTTTTTTTTTCAGGGGTTCTTGGAAACAGATGCTCTGGGTAATGGACTCATCATGAGCTCATCCTGTCGGGAAGGAGGGCTGAGCAGGATTGATGAGAGGGACAACAACGGGTTTTCTTTCTCATACAGCCTGTGCTTTCCACCACGTGTTGCTGGCCCCTCCTCACTCGCATCCCAGGCAGCGTGCCGTGGGGAGAAGGTGGCATAAAGGGGACAAAGGTCTCACCTGTCACCAGGTCCAGGCATCAGTGGGATGATGAGCTCTGCCTGCTCCTCTCCCCCTCATCCTGCCCTCTCAGTCCTGGGGCCATTCCTGGGCACATTGTCCACCACTGACCCTTAGGGAGCAGGAAGGGGGCAAGAGGACATCTCTGATACATCCAGACCCCAAACCTCATAGTCATGGATGGTGTGAACATCTCATCTGGTGGGAGTTGGGATGAGTGTGGGGGAAAGCTCTTCGAATTAGTCCTCTCAAAGATCCCTTGTCATGTATGTTCCCAGTGGAAGCTTGCTTCAAACTTGGGCTGTTGCAGGTCTCTCTTCATCCCCACCATTGTCATCTCTAGCACATCTCCAGCCACAGCTGAAGCCCAGCACACCTTCCCCTGTACATATCATAGCACTTGGAGAAAGCTTCTGGACTGATGGCCCTAGACACTGAGGTTTGCTGTCAACTCATGGGAAAGGTCCAGGGAACCCTCCATGTTCTCCATCCTTAGTCTTGGGGAAGTGGGTGACAGTTTTGAGCCTGTTGCTCTCATTTTTATTGAATGAGGACTTCAGCCATCCCTGCTATTGCTATTCACTAGCAGGGCTTCGAAGAGATGTACCAAAGGCAGTTGACACCAGAAGTGTCTCAGGTCATCCCAAAGTTGTTACCATTAGTGGTTCATAAAGTTGCTGCTTTCCTCTAAAGAGGAGAGGTTGACCCAAATCAGCTAATGGCCCCTGTCATTCCTACATTTGCAGGTAGTTGCTTTTGCTTCGCTTTTCTTCATCTTGGTCTCCATCACAACCTTCTGCCTGGAGACACATGAGGCCTTCAACATTGATGTCAATGTGACGGAGACCCTCGTGGTTGGCAACACTACAACGATCCTGCTGACACATAAAGTGGAGACGGAGCCCATCCTCACCTACATAGAAGGAGTCTGTGTCCTGTGGTTCACCCTCGAGTTCCTGGTTCGCATCGTCTGCTGTCCAGATAAGCTTCTCTTCGTTAAAAACCTCCTCAACATCATTGACTTTGTGGCCATCTTGCCCTTCTATCTGGAGGTAGGTCTCAGTGGCCTGTCCTCCAAAGCTGCCCGGGACGTACTAGGCTTCCTACGGGTGGTCCGTTTCGTCCGGATCCTCCGGATCTTCAAGCTGACACGGCACTTTGTGGGTCTCCGGGTGTTGGGCCACACACTCCGGGCCAGCACCAATGAATTCCTGCTCCTCATCATCTTCCTTGCCTTGGGGGTCTTGATTTTCGCCACTATGATCTACTACGCCGAGCGGATCGGAGCCAAGACGTCTGACCCCCGTGGGAGCGACCACACTCACTTTAAGAACATCCCCATTGGGTTCTGGTGGGCTGTGGTCACCATGACAACCCTTGGCTATGGCGACATGTACCCCAAAACCTGGTCAGGCATGGTGGTGGGGGCTCTCTGTGCCTTGGCCGGGGTGCTCACCATCGCCATGCCCGTGCCTGTCATTGTCAATAACTTTGGGATGTACTATTCGTTGGCCATGGCCAAACAGAAGCTGCCAAAGAAGAAGAAAAAGCATATACCCCGACCGGCCCCGCTGGACTCCCCGACCTTCTGCAAATCTGAGGAAAACTCCCCCCGTAACAGCACCCAGAGCGACACTTGCCCCTTGGCAGTAGAAGAGGGGGCAGCTGAGCGGAAACGGTCAGGTGAGACCCCAAAGGTGGGGTAGAGGGAAGGGGAGACCTCTGAGAATCCCCAAGGTGGTGTTTGTGGGCCCTTGTGTCCCAGAGTCTCTTGCAGGATGTGGCCTTTGGTTCCTGGGGTGGTGAGAAGTTGGTGCAGAAGGGGCTGGGGCCTTTGGGTGTCCAGGTATTGGGTGTTGTATTGGTGGACCAGGATGTTGCAGAACAAGGTCCCCTTCCAAGCAGGAGAGGGATCCAATGGGAACCCCAGGGGAAAGGCCATATCCTCCTCTCCTAATGGTGTAGATCAAGTCACCGTGGTGTGACTCAAGCTGTCCCACCCTAGCCCACCTCTTCCTCACCCTGACAGAGGTAGGACCATTCGCCTGATTCCCATCTTAGCCTGGTAACACCCTTGGGGTAGATTTTCTTTTGCTTCCTCCTGCTGTAAATCAGGGCAAACTTCACCACCATGGATAAATCCATGGATATTCCTTAGGACTCCCCTTCCCCGTTCATCTAGTAGATGTAACATCCCTGCCTGGGAAGGTCAACGTTGCTCCAAATCCTGTGCTGGGGCAGGAGCAAAATCAACCCCCACACATTTGTCATTTGGCCTGATGGGTTTGGCCAATCTTTCCTTCAGATCAGGAGAAGGCATGGCCCCAGCTGTGGGCAGTTGTTGGTGGGCAGCATCACTTGGGCTGATCTTGGGGGACTACAAGTGCCTTGTCATGGTATCACTGCTGGCCATGGAGGCTGCTTTGCCTTTTTCATCTTGGTTTGCTGCCAGCAGCACCTCCAGAGCATCTGGCTTTGCAGCGTGGAAACAAGAGGGACCATGGTGGGGTTGTGTCCTGCACTGATGTGGCATTTGCTGAGGTCAGCCTTGAGCATCCACACGTCTGTCCACGTGTCTAACGGTGATGGTCCTTCACCTATGGGGACACAGGGAGCTCCAAATGCCCCAGCTGGGTGGTTGTCCCTATAAATCTCCCTTTTCCATGTGTGTCCTGTCTGTCCCAGGAGCCCTGGCAGTGTGGAGCAGTGAGAGTAGCTGTCCTGCTCTGGAGGTCAACCCCATCCCTTCACCCCAACACTGATCCAGGAGCTCAGGCCAGACCCTCACCTGGCATTCAGCTAACGAACCACAGAGTCAGATGACACCAATTAGCACTTCACCACTAACCTGAGCAGCTGGTATCTCAACGCTGTGAGTCTTGGAGAGCTAATTCCCACCAATTAAGTGGGTGGATCTCAAAGGCCAGAGTGTTTCTTCCTGGGCAAACCCTGGTTGGCTTCACACAGAACCCTCAGCAGGAGCAAGAGCTGCTGTTTGCTGCTTGGGATTAAAATCTGTCACGGTCCTGCTCCCTGGTCAACTCTAAGTTGGCATGTCTAGGCTGGGATCAGATCATTGGTGCGTGTTGCTCTGAGCAATGTGGTCTTCTACTTCCTTGCATGGTTTAAGCAACCTTTCTGGCCACCTCAAGCACCTTGTCCTGTGCGTTTATCAACTACTGATGGGTTTCTGACACCTTCTTGCAGACTCTAAGCAGAATGGTGAGGCCAACGTGGTGCTGTCAGATGAGGAGCAGCCGCTGTCACCGACTGATGAGGAGAAGCGGCCCATGCGGCGCTCCAGCACCCGGGATAAGAACAAGAAATCCTCCACGTGCTTCCTGCTGGCCACGGGTGACTTCTCCTGTGCAGCGGATGGAGGCATCCAGAAAGGTATGGCTGATGCTGGAGATGTGAGCTGGCCCATGGGCTGGGGAGGGTGAGATGGAGGAGTGAGGTAGAACTTTATTGCATCTGTCCGAGATGATGGTTCATCTCCATCTGCCTACCTGGCTGTGGTTCTCTGCTCTCCAAATCCACTTGTCTTCCTGCCTTTCCATCTGCTTCATCTCCGTCCACCATGTCTCTCCATGCTAGCTCTATCCTTTTTGTTTTCTCCTCCCCTAATTGCCACCATTTGGGGTCTGTGACCCCATGCTGGCTGCACTTGTCTCCTTGGGGACAGGTCTGTCCCCTTTCCTCCCCAGTGCTTCAGCATCTCCTGTCCCTCCAGCTCTTCTCCCTGGGCCTCAATCACCCATCTCAGGATGGTGTGAGATGGACATCTCACCCAGGGAGATGGTGAAGTTATGACTGAAGGTGGTTGAAAGGTTTTCAGTAGGGGAAAAAAAGTCCATGGGCTTTTCCTTTCCTCTCCCCCTCTGATGTCTTCTGATGGGTTCGAGCGTGGGGAGCTGCGATGTGTCAAGTGCTGTCTTGCCAAAAGCAGGGGGCTGCCAGGAAGGCTGTCTCCTCTGGGTTTGGAAAGGGAGCTTTGTGAAGTGTTGAGGTGTTCTACGGGAAACTGTGGGGGAGATGAGTCAGGAAAACACAAAACTCTTCTTCCTGTGACAAAACAACAGTCCTCTTCAGCATGGTCCTTTTGCTTCTCTGCTCCACCAACTAACGTGCCCTGTGCCCATCTTGCAGCACCCCAACCTCTGTGTCTACCTGGAGCCCCCAAATCCAGCTGCACCCTCAATTGCTGGGTGAATTCTTAGGTCATGGCTCAGTTTTTTTTAGTTCTGCAGTTTTTCTTGTGTGTCCAGGGTGGTGTGGGATGATGTAGCTGCAGAGCTGACCTACTTCTGCCTCCTTGATACCATCTAATCCCAGTTACTTGCAGGGAATGGTACATGTGAGCTGGGACCAGGCAGGAGAAAAGATGATGTGCTACATCTCTGACCTGCACACCAAGACCTGTTGGCTTGTGGTGTTGGTGCTTTGGAGGACCTCAAGGGTTTGTTGCTGTGGTTCTGCTTGGCATGGTAAAGACTGGATGGGTTTGGGACATAGGGAGGACCTCAGCTTTGGGTCTGTGACCTCCGGCTCTGGTGCTCAGGTTCATCTCGCACCCTCCTGGCATATTTTGCACTGAGGAGTCACCTGTTTTCATGTGTGAGGTAGCCAAGTTCATCCCAAGCTGACCTGGGCCAGGCTCTCCAATAGACCCTGGAGTGAGGGGAGGTGTTTGGGGGCAACCATATTTCTTAAATTAGTAGAAGCAAGTTGGTTGCTTCCTTCTGGGAAATCCAGGATTCCCTTTGGTGTTCCTGCTCAGCGTGGTCCCTCAGAAAGAGTTAAAAAATGAGAAGCTTTGCTGATCTTTGGGCAGAAGGGAACTCTACAGATATTTGCTTGAAGAGCCTCAGGTTTTTCTGGAAGTGCCTTTTTCTGTGAAGTTGGTGTCTTTTCTTAATGTCTGCTACTGAGAAGAAGTGAGAGGGCTCTAGTCTGTGAAGTTGGTGTCTTTTCTTAATGTCTGCTAATGAGAAGTGAGAGGGCTCTAGTCCTGCCCCAAGCTCAGGGAGATGTTGAACTGGAAGGGATGAAGGAGAGGGATGAAAGCCAGTGCTGATCTTCATCCTTACAAGATGCTCAAGTCAGACATCTCCTTGCCTGAAGCATTTGAGCTTGGTCCTACTGAAGCCAGGAGAACTAGAGGAGATCTAATAGGTGAAGATCTAGTGATGTTCTTGCTGAGCTCCCAAATCACATTACTTAGTTGGAGGAGACCAGGAGATTTATTTCATGCATGGTGGCAGCAACAGCTATTTGAAAGGGCACCTTGGTGATCTTCATTGGTTTGTTCTGGTGTCCCTCCTGCAAATGTCAGAGTGCTTTATATGATTAAAAGTAGATTCATTTGTGGGTCACTTGCCCTCCACTTTGCTGAAGTGGTTTTGCATCTGGAGAAAGATGGATCATGTGTCCAGAGATGCTTGAGCGATGTGTGAGACTTTTTGGGAAGAGGGAACCTCAATATCTGCATCCTACTTGGGCTGTTGGGGATGGACTGGTGGGATGCTGTCCTGGGAGGTCAGGGCTGATATCTTCCCTGGTGAAATGCTTCAGTGTGGTCAGGGTTAGTGGTCACCAGAGATGAGCAGAGAGGCAAAGCAGCCTCCTGTGCTCCAGCCGAAAGCCGTGGGGAGCCACAAAGGTGCCTCTTGTCTTGGTCCTGATTTATCTCCTGCTGAGGCTGTTTGTTCTGGTACTGGGATGTTGGCAGCTCTGCAAATTGAGATGAGCTTGGTTCTGAGCCCAACTTGCTGATGGCCATCTGTCAGATTCTGGGACAGGTACTGGTGTCTGTACAAGCTGTGGAAATCAGGAGATGGAGCTGGTTCAGGAATGTGCTGCAGATCTCAGCATCCATCATGATTTGAGCCCGATTCCAGCAGTTGGTCTTGTTGGGGCAGCTCAAAGAGAAGAGCTACCCCAGCCCACTACCCCTTGGACCTGGGCCCTGGAGAAGACCGAGCTGGATTGTGGTGGATTGCCATGAGGCATGTGGTTTTTGTCCCTATTGCTGCTTCTAGTGGTGTCACCTTGCTCTCTTACTGCTGGGTCTGGCTTCAAACCCCTCCAGCACCCAGATCATGCTCAGCAGTCCCCCAAAATGTGTCCTGCTGGGGCCCAGACATGTTGACTTGGGTGTCTCTTGGTATAGTAGCCCCTGGCTTTTCTTGGATGGAGGGATATGGAGGCAGGATGAGTCCAGCATCTCCCATGCCAGCGAGATTGGTTCTGATGGTCTGGGGAAAGGTAGTGATTGAAACCAGAGTAGGGTTTCAAGAGGAGCCACAGGCAATGGGGTTAATGGGAGGATCTTATCAGACATTGGAAGGGGTTGCCCAGGGCAGTGGTGGAGTCCCCATCCCTGGAGGGATTGAAGAGTCGTGTAGACACAGTGCTGAGGGACATGGGTTAGTCGGGGACTTGTCAGTGTTGGGTTCATGGTTGGACTCGATGAGCTTAAAGGACTTTTCCAATCCAGGCAATTCTGGGATTTACCCTCCTGGCAGATCAGCTCTCCCAACACCCCGCTTTGAGGACACGCCGGCATGGCAAAGCAGCAATCTTTGGCTTGGTTGCCATCACCCAGCCCTTGGTTGCCATCATGCAGCTGATTTTTACTCTGTCACTTGCTCTTAGTGCAGGACCATGACTGGCACGTGGCTTGAGTGATGTGGGATCTGATCACCCACCGGTGACGCTCAGCTGGGGTGGGGAACAAGAACAAGCCCATAATTGCACAGGGACAAGCGTGTGAGTCCACACAACACGCAGATGAGCCCTGGGCCACCGTTCTGAACAAGCACAGGTGTTCCTGGGTGATGTTCCTCACTTGCATTGCCCTGTCCCCATCTGCTGGCTCCAAGCCCTGTGCCAGTGTGCATGTGTGCTTGTGAGCTGTGACCCTTTGCATGTGGGGAAGGTGGCAGTGCCAGGTCCTGGGGGAGAGCCCTCAGGGGTTACCCTCTGCCCCACCACTCTGGTTATAAGATGCCTCCACATGGCTCCTTGGCAACAAAAACCCCATTTATAAAGCAATCTTGGTGTCCTTGGTTAGCACCCGTGTGAGTTGCTGGGTTACTGGCTCCATTAATGAGCAGCACCGGTGGCAATTAGCAGAGCACAACCCTCCGGTGCCTTGCAGCTTGACTCCATGGTGGCATCTGGCCTTGAGTGTGGTGGAAAACCATGATGGTCTTGAGGGATGGAGTCCTGAGCTCCTTCCCAGGTGCTCCTGTGAGAGTGGATTTATGTGCGTTGGGAATTAATTGATGGAGAAAATGAAGTGTGGGGCTCGGGGCAGGTTTGTCCTCAGAGTCCTGTTGCAGAAGAGCCCTGGGGCAATCAAGTGTCTTTATAAAGTGCTGCCCCAAACTGTGATACTTGAGACTTCATCAAAAGACATCTCAGTCTAGAACTATCTCCCAAGGGGCAGAGGAGGGGCAGGTGCTGATCTCTTCTCTCTGGCCACCAACGAATGCCAGGAGCAGAGGGAATGGCAGGAAGATGTGGCAGGGGAGGGTGAGGTTGGCCATGAGGAAAAGGTTCTTGAGGCACCCAGAGGGTGGTGGAGCACTGGAACAGGCTCCCCAGGGAGGTGCTCATGGCACCAAGCCTGACAAGATTCCAGCAGCATTTGGCCAAGGCCCTCAGGGACATGGTGTGAATGTTGGGATTGTCCTGTGCAGGGCCAGGAGTTGGATCCATCATCCTGGTTGGTAATTACAGCTCACAACGTTCTAGGAAAACCGGCAGCACAATTCTGGCCCTGGTCCTGTGCCCTCCTGCCACCCTTTTCTACTCAATGATCTGAGCAAGAAGGCAAAGAGCATCCCTATAAAGTGCTCAACCACATCAGCAGGTCCTTACATCGCCAAGATGACTTCCAGCCAGCCCTGACCCCATACCACCTCTCTGCCAAGTGGATGGTGTTTGGGTGCTGGATCCATCAGTTACCCCAAGTTTTCAGGGACTGGTTGCATCTCAACACGGCTCATGGTGACAGGGAAATGTGTGAGCTCCTCAAAGAGCCTCAGGGCTCCTGGGAAAAAGAGCAAGGTTTGTGAAGGATGAACCCCATGCAGTTTTTTTGGGGTGTTTTTTGGGGAGCAGGGGGGTCTTTACATCAGCTGCTGTAGGTGGGAACATCTCCAGCTTGGGATGGGGCTCTGCCCAGCTCAGGGCTGTGCTCACTTCCCTCCTCTCTCGCTTCATGGATTCATGCCAAAAAGTAAAGCAGGAAATTGCTCTTCTCTTTGGGGTCTGGTTCTGCTCTTGCTTCTGCTGAGGGAACTAGAAAAGCTTTGCTGAAGTCTGCAACAGGTTAAGACAGGTGATCCTCTGTCCTCCAGCCCTTTTTCTGGTCCAAAACTGGA